AAAAAAAAAAAAAAAAAAAAAAAAAAAAAAAAAAAAAAAAAAAAAAAAACTATATTAGTCAGAACTATCAGTTAAGGCATATTTTTTGTTTGTTTTACATTGAGAAAGAAGCAATACATAAGAAAAGCTGAAATAAAGGATTTAACCAATCAACACCAGCTTCTCTTTTGAGTAATATACTTAGGTGAGGACACAGTCACGTCAGTTTTTTTCCTTCTGTATGTTCCTTCAGTGTATGTCATTATTTGATCTAGTAAAATAACCTGAGTAAGAAATTTCATAGATGCTCCAGGATAGAACTGGAAAGCTGTCAGAGATGGCACTGAACTGTATTCTCCTAGATGAGTATTTTTCCCAAGTAAGCCAAGTTTTGGGGTTTTTTTTGAGATTTTGTTTTCCGCATTAATAACTCAGGCTTTATTTTAGAAGGCAAGGTAGTGTTAGGGATAGTTAAGAGAACCAAGATGATATTGTCTAAAAGTTTGTTGTTGGGGGAGGTTGCACGGAATTTTAGAGTGAATTGAAAGTACCATTTATCAACCGCACTGGAACAGGTTTAAAAAGACCTGAACTGTTAATAAAGATTTAATGTCAGCTCCCAGAAAATAAGGTTAACATACTGTCAAGTGTGCTATTTCTTTTTCTGCTACTCCTACAATTACCACTCTCACCAAGGCCTAATTTATCATGTGGTAAGAGTCAAAGATGAATAGATGGTTTTGCACAGAAAAGTTTTTACCTATGAAAGGCCCAACTGTTGTCTATATTAATTGGTTTCTTTGGTATTTGTAGGGTATTGATGATGTCACTGGTGAACCATTAGTCCAGCAGGAGGATGATAAACCTGAAGCAGTTGCTGCCAGGCTAAGACAGTACAAAGATGTGGCAAAGCCAGTCATTGAATTATACAAGTAAGTGTGCTTCAGTATTTCATGACAAAGGGCGGACTGGAAAGGTGTGGAGCCTGCCAGGAAGAACACTGGGCTAAGGCAGAGTCGTGTTTCTTTAAGACAGATAAACACCAAGGACCCAAAACCTTCCCAGAAGTCAGATGAAATGCCGGAGTTATACATGAAAGATAAGGTTCAGACATTTATCCTGAAACTGTTAGAACATAAGGACCCGAATCTGATCACTTCTGTCTGTTCTGGATGTAAAACAACATTTAGATTTATTTTTATTTTCCTAAAATTTTATGTGGCTGAGATAGTGATCCCACATATGTTGACACTCCCACATATAAAAATATCTGGTTTGGATAGAAGATTAGAAGAGACGGCTGGTGTGTCCCTTCTTGAAGTTTCTGTAGGGAGTTTAACAAAGAAAGGCTAACTGTAAACCAGAGATTAAAAGTTCAAATGGCTGCAGGGGCTAGGCAGGTATTAGAAATGAGTCTCAAACATGGTGGGGGATGTGTCAGACTAGACAGTTGAGTGACAGTTGAACTGGACAGGTCTTGGGCTGCTCCAGCCAATTATCACCCCAGGGGCACACAGGCCAGTGATTCCCGTTTTTCAGGAATAGCAGAAATCGGGCTCTCTGTGCCTGTGAAAGGGAGGAATCTCAGTTTTCATATTGGCAATATATTAAAATTTTTTAAGTAACATGCAAGTCAAACAAAACTGTGCACTGAGTGCATTCAGAACAGCAGTTTATACTCTTTGCTACAGTTACTTTCTGGCCTTGTAGTCCACAGAAAATTTAGCAAACTTTATATCAGAGTTTTATGATTATATTATTATGATTATAATTATATAATTTATAATTATTTATAATTATAAATATATATTTATAATTTATAATTATTATAATTTTATTATTATATTATATTATACGATATGTCAATCATGTGTTCCGTGATTGATTTAAGTAATAAGGGTTTTAGTATTCCAAAGCTTTTCAGTGGTTTGCTTTTGAAAATTAAATATTGAGGCACATTTGGGATGGCCCCTATAATGCTATTCTTTGATGTGTTTTGAAGGGGAGAAAAAGGTGGCATCATGACAAGCATACCAGAATGGCAAAAGCTATGACCTTATTTAGGTACGCCCAGTGGGGGTGTTGATACATGTGAAAGGGGCTGTTTTAGCACTTAGTGTGATATATGACATAGACTCATGAGATCATGCTTGTTTTATGTCTAGGATCTTCTTGTTTTATATCTAGGATCACTAATATGTGAAAAAGAAACCTAAAATGCCTTTGTATGTTGGACTTTGTTTTTCAGGAGCCGAGGAGTGCTCCACCAATTTTCTGGGACTGAGACGAACAAAATCTGGCCCTACGTTTACACACTTTTCTCGAACAAGATCACACCTATTCAATCCAAAGAAGCATATTGACCCTGCCCAGTGGAAGAACCAGGAAGATGTGGTCATTCATTCGTGTGTGTAGTATTGGTGCTGTGTCCAAATTAGAAGCTAGCTGAGGTAGCTTGCAGCATCTTTTCTAGTTGCAGTGGTGAACTGATAGGAAAACAGTTGAGTAGAAAGTGTTCACGAAGAGGCCCTCCTCTGCCTTTCAAAAAGAAGGTCACCTACACATGTTTAAGGTGTCTCTGCACATGTCTCAAGCCCTTCACAAGAAAGCAAGTACAGTGTGGATTTAAAACGGGGTGTAATTTCAGCTCTAGCTGATTATTGACAGCTGTGTTGTTGCTGTGGTATCCTTTTTTACACGTGTTGGTGATGGTCTCTGGTTCTCCCCAACCCCTCAAAGGCTGTTGAACCACAGCACCAAGAAGCCTGAGAATGAACACGAAGGGCTGTAGCCCAGGCTTTGTCCTATGCTGTGTGGTGTGTGCCCTCCTGGTGACAGTGAAATTGAAGCTACTTACTCACAGTGGTGGTTTCTCTGGTGTGGAGTGACTGTGTCCACAATTCATTTTTTTCCAGTAGGAATAACTTTTTTCTGCATCCATACTCCATAGAGGCTCTCCTTTTCAGACATCCTGAGATGAAAGAATTTAGCTTCTGTTTTTTGTTTGACTTTTTTTTTTTAACATCTGTTTTCACTCATAGGCTGTTAAACAAAACAGATTGTTACTGCCCTTTTCCCTCTCAAATTCTTCTAAGAACTGAGAGCCAGGGGACTGTATTGAATCTCTATACAACGGGAACTGAGCTGTGAAGAGAATCTTACTAAACTGCTGGTCTGACTCTCATGGATTAACACTGTTCCTTTCTTTTATTGTGAGAAAAAAAAAAAAAAACCTAAAAGTCTTGGGAATCCCCTAAAGTCTTTTGGGAATTTGCAAAAAGCATGGGAAATATAAGTATTTAGCTACATAAATGTTATAAGATCATGTCTTATGTATAGATGTAAAAAGATCATTTGGAATTACTGGACTAATTGAATAGTTAAAGTTTCTATTCAGGACAATAAAATGTATTTTGAAAGTGCTGCTAACTATTGATGCTGAAAGTGTTTCCCTCCTGTGAGTGACCCAAACATACTATAAATAGGTGGTGAAAGGAATGAATCCTGTGGGGTTGAGCAGAATGTTGTACTAGCTGCCCCTGGACTGAGTATAACAGCTTTACAATTATAGGAAAACAAAATCTTTTTTTTTTTTTTTCCCTGTTCCAAAGATTCATCCTATGGAGTGGCCATAAAGTCTAGAATTAGATACTAATATTTTGTCATTCATTATAACATAATATCAATAAACCATTTGTTAAAGGATTTGCCTTGTTTCCAGACTTGGTGGCCACCTTGAATAATTTTTGCTGTCCTCTGGGAAGGATGATGAAATTTATTCCTGCTGCCTTAAAAATATGTATCCCTTCTTCATGCATCATGACTGTCCCCAGCGAATGTCCTTTACTATTCCTGGGAGTGACTTCTGTCTAACTTTTCATACTGGTGAGAAGAAAAGAAGCCTATTTTAGCACTTTGGTGGTGTTGAAACACATTACTTACTTTCTGAAGATGCTCCAGTGAATCCTCTGTCAATTCACTGCCATATGTAATCTGTAGGATAGTCCATCTTCCTTCTAGGTACTGCCCAAACTCTTGCCAGCTCCTCTCCCATTGTCCCTTCATATGAATATTTTTTGGCTACCTTAGTGGAAATATAGACCAGTCTCTTCCCCATCCTCTCAAACATAATGACATTGTTTACTTTTTAGGTTTATGTAGTAAAGATGCCCAGTCCAGTCTGTGAATCGTCAGTGCGTTATATTGACTCTGAGCACTTTAGAATTTAGAGTTGCAATTGAATGCCAGTTTGTGGAGATGGGGTGCATATCGGATATGGAGGTAAAAGCTCAGGTTTGCTGGGGAACCAGGTATAGAGAAAAATAAGTTTGACATGAGGAAAACTGCACGATTTAGAGCAGTTCTACCATAGAGAAAATTTCCACAAACTGGGAAAAGTAGAGAGTTATTCTATAGCATAATCAAAAGAGGAAAGTCTTCCAACTTCTTTCTTCACTCCCCATGTTTAGGTGACCCTCCAATGTGATCATTGCCTTTGGAGTTTGGGAGAGGTATGGGAAATGGCTGATCCCTGTTTCCATACTTTACTCCTCCACCCATTCTTCCCTCCTGCTTCTCCAGCTAAATGGACAATTCTAGCCAACATTGAGTCACGTAGTAAGTCTCAGCAGTGGGTGTGTTTGCTGAGATTGTCCAGCAGTTGGGCAGTTTGATCTCACCTCCCTCGCTAGGCAAGACCAAAAAAAGACGTATCTTTCCCATGATCTTTGAAACATAATGCTTATTTCATGGTCCATGTCCTTTAAAAAAAATCTATTTCTGGTTTTCTTCAACAAACTCACTAGTTTTCTCTTACATGATTTTGTAAAACTTAAGGTTATCTTGAAAATGTTTTGCCAAAAGTAAAATTAAAGGGATATCTTTCCTCGTTTTTTTTTCTACTGCCACACATGACCATTCCTTCACTATTAAGCAAAGCGAGTGGTTGAAATGGTTTCTGAGGTGCCAACCTGACTTCGCATTCTGTCATTTTACCCAGCTCTTAATTCAGTTTGCTTCCATTATCCTAACAGGCTCCTTACTTAGAACTTGGAAATGCTGCTGTGTTTAATACCCTCCAACACTAATGCAGACTTAAGATAGGTACCGTTTATTGAACACCTACTGAGTAAAATGTGTGGTTTTAGGACCTTTATAAACATCTCATTTAATCTTTCCAGCATCCTATGAAACAGCCATGATTTCATGTTGATAAACAAGACAGGGGTCCCAGGGATGTGAAGCCCAAGCTTCTGCAGCTGATGACCAGTGTAGCCAGGATTCCAGCCCAGGCTTTCCTGACTCCGAAGACTGAACTTGTTCCTGGATGTTATTAATAGCTACTTGTGTCCAAGCAACCAAGGGCCTTGAGTCTGCTTTGTTCTGCTTGTGGCCTCACATCAAGAATAACAGAGCTAGTCTAGATATGGTGGAGCTAGTGCATGTCTGTAGTCCCAGAGCTTTGGGAGGCCATGATGGGAAGATTATCAGAAGCTCAAGACCAGCCTGGGCAATATCACAAGACTCCATCTCTACAGAAAAATTAAAAATTAGCCAGGCCTGGTGGTGTACACTTCTGGTACTAGTTACTCAGGAGACTGAGACAGGAGGATTGCTTGATCCTAGGAGTTCGAGGCTGCAGTGAGCTATGATTGCACCTCTGCACCCCAGCGTAGGCGACACAGTGAGACCCTGTCTCTTTAAAAAAGAAAGTAGCAGAGCTCGAGCTCACCAAAGTGATGTTCACCTTTTTGTGATGTTCCTTTTTTTCTTTTTATTTTGCTTAAGCAAAGAAAGCTGCTAGAGGGGAGTCTTAGTCTTCCTGCATAAGACCTCCTTTATGAATAGAATAAAAGGCTGTCACGAGTAGGCTGGGCTTGGGTCCAGGCTAATCTGTGAAGGAAGCAAGCTCATGTTCCTTATCTACACTTTCGATGTCCACTGGGTCATGCCCCTGAAGTGGCCTTTATCCTTGAGCCATCCCCAGCCATGGTGCTCACACATAGGCTTTTGAGCTCCTTGGAGCTATCCAGAACCCTGCTCACTTTTCTTTCCTGAGATCAGAACAAATCACCCCCTTACTCCCACTCTAAACAAAGTCTTGATGGTAAATGAATCCTCAAAGTGCTGGTTGATAAACAAACGATGTTGGAGCATGGAACACAGGTTAACTCCTGACTTTTGTGCGATTGTCTCTCGATTGCATTACACATTAACATGACGTTGGGCTGGGCGCGGTGGCTCACGCCTGTAATCCCAGCACTTTGGGCGGCCAAGGCAAGTGGATCACGAGGCCAAGAGCTCGAGACCATCCTGGTCAACATGGTGAAACCCCGTCTCTACTAAAAATACAAAAATTAGCTGGGCATGGTGGCGCGTGCCTGTAATCCCAGCTACTCAGGAGGCTGAGGCAGGAGAATTGCCTGAACCCAGGAGGCGGAGGTTGCGGTGAGCCGAGGTCGCGCCATTGCACTCCAGCCTGGGTAACAAGAGCGAAACTCCGTCTCAAAAAAAAAAACATGACTCTGAATGCCAAATCCAAATCTTTGCCCATCATCTGCTTGTTGTGCAACAGTTGAGGCAGTAACCAGGGGAGATTCATTTCCTATCTTGTCCTTCCCCAGGGATTACTCCCCTGCTGCCCTCCGGCAGCCAAGCTCAGATGAGCTCTGTTGTTACCCTAGGTGTGCCCATCTCTGCTGGGAAGGAGAAAGGTAAGAATAGCCATTAAAGAAGAAGGATTCTTGGAGAGAGGTGCTGCTGTGGTTTTTTCTGCTACTTAAGATGTTGAGACAGGATAACTTAGAAAGATACCTGCACAAACCCATAAATAGTTCACCAGTACATTGTATAAATTTATACAATTTAGTTCACCAGTACCCGAGTTCAGCATTTGACATTAGCTTTTTGTCTAAGGAGTGTAAGCCTGCTGGAGGTCTTTGCTCAAATAACAAATTCCGCCTACTTCCAAATGTGTTCAGGTAGAGGCAGTAGGTACTGTTTGCTTACTCCATGTTAGGTACATTACATGCATTGGCTAATCAAATCCTTATCAGTTACCTATGTAATAATCTCAATTGCCTCCTAGTTTTATAAGTTGAAATAATCCTGTTTATTTAAACATGTTTTTATGTACCTATAGGGATTAGTCAGGAAATTCAAAGAGCCTTTTTTATACCTTTCCCTAGTTTGAGCTCCCTGTTCTCATTAGCAGATAAAAGAACATATTTACTTCAGCCTGGAGTCTTTTATTTTTGGTGCTTCAGTGCAGAGACAGGAAACAGGCCCTTAGTCACACTGGTAGTTGCCCACTGTATCTACAGAGGGCATGTCTCATCTGTGTTCTGCTGCGTTGTAGGATTTCACCTGCGAATTCTGTTGATTACCTTTCACTTAGTTTCTTTACTTTCTGCAGTTGATTTTGCTAGAGAGGCAGTTCATAAGGTGAGGTCCTGTTCATAGTATGACTTGCTTTCTCACTGTCCCCTTCCATTTTTAGTAACTCTGGTCTATTTGATGTCTTTAACAAAAGAACCTGGTAATGGAGACTTTTAATATGGTAATGTGGTCGGTCTGGTAATAAGTTATTCCTTTCCATATGTAAGTGACCCAGCCTGGTTTCCAGATGAGAAGTGTGCAAGCCTCAGATGTTGAGAAGCTGTATTTCAGCTATGAAAAAAATCAGCTTCCTGAATCTGTTGAAATGTAATTGTTCATATTTGCCATCCCTTATCTTTCTCGTAACAATTTGCACAGTTCTTGCCAGAATAAATGCCATTATCTGTATGCTTCAGGGAATTCCCCAATTTGATCAGTGAGGTGTGTGTATGTGTGTGTGTGACTCAGTAAAACACTTCTAAAGGGTGAAAGCTCTTGTATGGCATAGATATGAATTCCTTCCTCTGGAAATAATTAGGTTATTCCCGGAAACGCAGTGTCATTCTTTAGATAAAAGCTTTCCTGTTTAAAGCTTTTCAAAGGAGCAGACCACCTTGAAGATTCCCCCTAGGGTTGATATGTGTCTTATTCATTTTATAAAATTATTCTTGTCTTCATTTTAAAGCTTTGGCTGTATAGTCAGAAATGTCCTAAATAACAAACTATTTTGTATTTAATTTAGAGAAGAGTAAAGGGAAGAAAAATGAAAACTCCGTCTTTATGTAAGCTCCAAGGATATTAGGGCTTAGAGGGCTTTTCTAGTTTTATGAGAATTTGTACTACTGATTTTTATATATTCTTGTTTTTGAGATGAACAGATCTCTGGGGAAATTGTTGAGTTACAATGGCATTTCACTGTGATCCCTCTCAAGCTCAGATCAGTTCTGTAACCCAATGACGACCTGTCTCTTTGGTTTACTGTCCTGTGAAATGTCCGCTCAAGCTTCCCAGAAGTCAAGTGTTTACGATGAATCGGAGTGCTTTTCCTTGGTGGGACAGTTGTTGGCCCTCTTAATTTTGGTGTATGTGCTTCAAAGTATCTTAAACCTCCAGTCTGATCTGTATATGCTATCTTAACTGTTAATTGTATTATTGATTATTTTGATTATCTTGCTTGAAGGTTCATACTTCTCAATTTGATAGAAATAAAGTTTTTTTCTGCTTATAACTAGTGAATTCATTTCATGTTTGTATAGCTTTTTATACTTTCATTTCACAAATACTTTCATTTTTGCCATCTGCAACCACTGTGTTACCAACAGTGTCTCCAATTTGCAGATAAGAAAAATAACTTGATGTTACCTGGATAAGGTAACAATTGATGGCAAAGCAAGAACCTGAACCAAGAATTATCATCCCCACTCCTGTTTTCTGTTCTGCTACCCCATATTGCCTTATTCGTATAGCCTTCTTTATTTGTCCAGCACTTTATTGTTTATAATTTTAATGTACATTCTTTGTTTTTTTCCCCTAACCACTAGACAACCAGGGATCTATTTCTTTTTTTCTTGAAACAGATGACTTGAGCAGATTCTCTCCCTGTTTTACACATTAGGAAAGTAGATCAGATTATATGACTCTAAGGTTGTAGCATTTGGGATTACTCAGCAGAAGCAGAAACTGTAGCATGTTTGTCACATGGGAGCTAGGATCACCGAGAAAGTAGAGCTGCTGCAGGAGAAGCCCCTGAGATGGAAAAATACCCTGGCTTTTCTCAGCCTCACACTGTTCTGTCTCTGGGGCGGCTTTCCTTAGCTGAACCCATGCAGAAGCCAGCTGACATAGGAGCCTGAGAAATATATTCTAAAGGCTTGCCCATGCTACTGAAAAGGCAGAGGAAAGGGTAACTGAATAGGATGGCAATGTGGTAGATTGTATTAAATTTAATGACGTTCAGCAGTCCCCCTCTTTTTTTTTTTTTTTTTTTTTTTTTTTTTTAAGGCAGAGACTCACTCTGTTGCCCAAGCTGAAGTGCAGTGGCATGATCTCGGCTCACTGTAACCTCCACCTCCTGGGTTCAAGCAGTTCTCCTGCCTCTGCCTCCTAAGTAGCTGTGGTTACAGGTGACCACCACCACGCCTGGCTAGTTTTTGTATTTTTAATACATGAAGTTTTGCTGTGTTGGCCAGGCTGGTCTTGAGCTCCTGAACTGAGGCGATCCCCCTGCGTCGGCCTCCCAAAGTATTGGGATTGCAGATGTGAGCCATCACAGCTGCCTCCCCCTACCCACTTTATTTATTTATTTTGAGACAGAGTTTTGCTTTTTTACCCAGGCTGGAGTGCAGTGATGCAATCATGGCTCACTGTGCAGCCTCAGCCTCCTGGGTTCATGTGATCTTGGGCCTCAGCCTCCTTAGTAGCTGAGACTATAGGTGCATGCTACAATGGGCTAATTTTTTTTTTTCTTATTTTTTTGTAGAGACAGGGTCTGACTGTGTTGCCCA